ACTGGGGTCCCCCGGGGCCTGGGGCAGGAAGGTATTAACTGGGGTCCCCCGGGCCTGGGACAGGGAAAGTATTAACTGGGGTCCCCCGGGCCTGGGACAGGGAAGGTATTAACTGGGGTCCCCCAGGCCTGGGACAGGGAAGGTATTAACTGGGGTGCCCCCGGGCCTGGGACAGGGAAGGTATTAACTGGGGTCCCCCGGGCCTGGGGCAGGAAGGTGTTAACTGCTCTGGGGTAAGTAAAACCCTCCACGTTCACGTCTGGATCCGGCCAGGATACCGCCTGTGGCTCTTCAGAAACAGGCGTTTACAGTGAGACCAAGTCCAAGGAGAGCGTGGGGTGGTGGGACCTGACCCAGTGTGGCTGCTCCCCTGTAGAGAGGGATCTGGACACAGACACACAGGGAGGCGGCCATGCACAGACAGGCAGGGGTCCAGGGCTGCGCCCACAGACCACCAGAAGCTGCAGGACCCTGGAGCAGACTCTCGGGCGGAGCCAGCCCTCCCCACACAGTGTTAGACCTCTGGCTGCAGGCCAGGGACCAGATCCCTGATGCCAAACCCCAGGCTTCGGGGCAACCCTGAACGTCCCTGAGCATCAGAGCCACCACCATCCTTCAGGAGGGCGGAGCCCACAGGCCCCCCTAGTTGCTGGACCCTGGGGAGACCTGGGAAAAGAGTCCAGGGCCAGGAGGGGGGCCAGGGGAGGAGGGGACCAGAGGGGGAGGGAGTCCCAGATGGGGAGGGAGAGCACCTTTCCACCTTTCCACTGGGAACAGAGCAGCCTGGGGACAAACCCCGGCCACCATGGCTAGAGGCCACAGCCCAGACCCTGCACTGCCCTCGCCCTGTGCCAGGTCATGAAAATCAGGGCCCTGACCACTGAGTCCTTTCTGTGGTCCTGGTTTCTCCCACGCCCACCATGCCACCCCGTCCCCGGGTGCTTCTTGAGAGCACCTGTGGGGCGGAAGCTGCCATCAGTGCTGCCCAGGCCCACCACGCCAGGCTCCTGCCCTTCTGTTCGCAGCTCCGTGTCCCCCAGTGAAGCCCTTCGGTGGTGGGCACTTTCTATCTTCTACCCGGGGCCTGACCCTCTCAGAGTACCCGCCCATCTGGACTTTGCCTCCGGTCCTTTCCCTCCAGGGGGCGACCGCCTGTGACATTTGAAGACGGGCACTTTCCCTCAGTGGACTTTGTGACCAGTGTTACCTTAAAGAAGTAGCTTAACCTGGACCAGAGGAACGTCGGAAGGTACTCCTGGACCCACCCCAGCCCACTCTGCAGGACACATTCATGCGGGGGGTCGGGTCAGGACCATGTTATTGAGGAGCATCGGGCACCTGCTGTCCTGCAGGGCGTCTCGTCTGAAGCCAGCCATGAGGTCACACGCAGTCGTCCACGGCTCTCCCTGGAAGGTGCTGGGGTCCTACAATGAACTTGACTGGCCTTGTCCCCCGGAGACGGGCCCCAGGGCTCCACCTCTGTCATCAGGCTTCTCTTGGCCCTGCTGAGAACTGGGCTCCCTGGGCCCCGGGTGGCCCCGCGTTGGCCAGGAAGGCCCAGAGCTCGGGACACCCTTCAGTCTGACGGTCATCGTGGAGGACACGGCCACAGGACAGCCTCACGGGGAGGCCCAGGGTCCCCACACAGGGCCCTGGCTCACGGGGAGGGGACCCACCGGAAGCTCTGAGCTTCACACTGCAGGCGCTCACGGAGGCTCTGCCCGTCTCCGCCCCTCTCCCCTTCCCTGGCCGGGTGGGCTCATGCCCCCAGCTGGCCGTGGCCGGTGCTGTCTGTGCCCCCATCCAGGAGCCCCCAGAACAAAGGACGCTCTCATCACCCTTTTTATTACATCACCGTGTGTGACAGTGAGGAAGGCAGGCTGGCACTGGGACAGATGAACAGGGGGAGGTGGCCTTTCTTCTCCTCCCCCTCCTCCTCCTCCCCCTCCTCCTCCTCCTCCTCTTCCTCCCTCCGCCTCCCCACCCCCTTCCCTTCCTCTCTCTCCCCCTCCTCCCACCCTCCTCCCCCTCCCTCTTCTTCTCCTTCTTTCACACACACACACACACACACACACACACACACACATTTTTTTTTGCATAATATTGCCTCCAGCAAAAACAAAGTACTTATAGGGCACTAGAAGAAATTATTTTGCATCTCAGGTGTCCATTTTAGGAATGGGAATTTAATAACAAATTGTTCAAACCTGGGGAATTTTTTTATGGGTTCTTCAGATTTCTGCTGTTAATAGTGCTCCTAACCACATTTTGGGGGGAGTTCTTTGTTTTGGTTCTAGTGGGAAAAACTGGGCACACATTTTTAAACCCCTATGTATCTATCAGACTGCTTCCCTCATCAGCATGCCTGTATCTTGGGTCCATCAGTTTCCATGTGGCTTTGCTCTTCTTGAATGTGTAATGCCAGCAGATGTGCTTGTTGAAAAGTGATTGTCATTGGAGTGACATGTTTTGAGCTTTTAAT